ATGAGCAGGGGTGCAAATAAATAATTATACTTGGTTGAATAAAAATTTTCATTTAACCAAAAATAAATAAATTATTATTATTATTATTATTATTATTATTATTATTATTATTATTATTATTATTATTATTATTATTATTACACATAACAAAAATACATAAATCTTAAACATATAGCTTAATGCACATGTCGTTATTTCAAACGTAAATTTATGTAGCTGCAAAAATTTATAAAATTCGTAATTTTTTTATATATAACATTCAAAAATGTATATATATATATATATATATATACACACAAAATAAATATTTTTTGACTATTATTTTGAGAATGACTATATAATGCCATTTTCGCTATCCTAATTCCTGAGCTTTTGGGTTCAGAAAAGAAAATAAATTTTGAAACTTCGCCCACCGTTATAATATTGTCTTATTCTTTGGCTGTATGGCAAATAGGAGAACCAGCCAGAGAGGGAAAAACAAAATATAATAATGAAGCTTTTTCCCAAGGTCAAATATCTTATTATTTAATATTTGACATGAATATGGCTAATATATAAAGACGCAAACAGTAGCATTAAATTTTAAATAATATTTTGTCCTTCTCAAGATTTGATCCTCATCGACCACTAGACTAAATTTAATTTGTCAAAAAGTGAATCTTGTTAAATAAATAAGCAACAATTTAAACAACAATTTGTTTAATATGATTAGTGCAGAAGTAGTTGCTTAATGTTATTACTTAATGCATTAATGTCTAGGCAATAAAATAAAGCAAAGATAAACATGAAGTAGTAACTGCGAATCCAAAGTCAATGCCCTTCTAATAAAAAAAATGGAGAGATTGTCTCTATATTTCCTTACTATTAATCGGTGTGGAAGTGATCTTGATCTGGAAAAAATTGAGTCGCGTCCTCTCATATGTATTCCATAGTATTAATTAAGTGAGATGGTTAAAGAAAAAATAAAAATTATACTTTTATTATAAAAATAACTAAATATTTTCAAGGAATGTGTAAAAATCTTTAAAAGACAAACGGAAAAGGGCCAAAAATGTCCTTGAACTATTCGAAATAGCTCAAAAATATCTTCCGTTTGTTTTTTGTGCCAAAAATATCCGTGTCGTCTATGTTTTGGACCACAAATGCCCCTAAACCGTTTGTCTTGCCATTGAAGCTAACATGACAGTCCAACTAGGTTAGATTTGCTTACATGGCCATCCACCTAAGCAAATCCAGCATGACAAAATTGTTTTTTCGAAAAAATTATTTTTCCGAATTTTTTTATTAAAATAAAAAATCAACATTTATTCCCAAAAAAGTAAAAAATATTCGAAAAAATTATTTATTTTGGATTTTTTTTATTAAAATAAAAAATAAACACTTATTCCGAAAATAAAAAAAATTCAGAAAAATTATTTATTTATTAAAATATTATATATAATATACAAAATAAATTATTTTGGAGCGTGCTTTAATATATTTTTCCGGAAATTTAAATTATTTTGGAGCATGCTTTAATATATTGTTCCAGAAATTTTTTACTTTTTTCGGAATACGTGTTCAATCGTAAAAATTTTAAATTTCACTTAAAGTTAAATTTCGGAATTTTGGAAAATTTGAAAACTCCAAAAATTATAAGAACTTTGGATGAACCAATTGATACTTACAGTAGAAGTGTGCCTTTTGTGAAGCTATAACTGATAAGTATCTAAAAATTTAGATCAAACTAATCATAAATTCACAAAAGAGTACAATTGAGTTTTTTAATCAAATCATAAAGCCAATCAAGAATAATTTTTCCGGAATTTTTTTACTATTTTCGGAATAAGTGTTGATTTTGTATTTTAATAAAAATTTCCGGAAAAATAGTTTTGTCATGCTAGATTGCTTGGGTGGATGGCCATGTAAGCAAATCTAATTTAGTTGGACTGTCATGTCAGCTTCAATGACAAGACTAACGGTTTAGGGGCATTTGTGGTCCAAAACATAGACGGCAGGAATATTTTTGACACCAAAAATAAAAGAAAAATATTTTTGAGCTATTTCGAATAGTTCAAGGACATTTTTGGTCCTTTTCCGAAAGACAAATAATTCAAACCGAAAATAGTAAATAACAAAAGGACGCTTATGTCCCACAATGGTAGAAATAAGAGACAATTTTCTTGGAACATGAGTTAATGGGAAAATTGTACGACTATGTTTTCCATAATTACTTGTTTTGACCCATATAATCTTCGTCAAAATGGAAATTATTATTTAACGTATATAATTTAGAACTTAATGACGAGTATTAAATTTCAAAGTGGATCATCAGCTAAAGACAATGGCATTGTTGAAATTTGTACAAGAAACAGTGGCATTTACATCTGTACTTGTTACGAGGCATCTGGTGGAATTAAAGCTGTATTCGCTTTATCTCTTTTGCTTTATTGGCCTACTCTCTTTTTAGTGTTCCCATCAAATTTCAACGTGATTTTTATTTGATTAAAGAGAAAATTTAAAATATTAATTTTGACTATTATATGGGTAATGGGTTATGGTAAGAATTGGGTTTGATAAATTAATCGGGTGTATCAGTGTGTTTCTACGTGTCCCTTTTATTACTGAGACCTAATTGTCTGTCAAACTGAAGGCAAAAATAATTATGGACCCGTTGGCTATAAAAATCGATTTCTTTTTTTTTTTTTACTTTTTTCGAAATCAGTGTTTGGCCATGAAATTTTTGATTTTACTTGAAGATAAATTTCAAAAACTCCAAAAAGTTATTTTTTTAAATTTTTTATTTCAAATCATTCACAAAAATTCTAAAATAATCTATAATTATATTCATGTCCAAACAGAATTTAAATTTTTACTTGAAAAAATATTTTACTTTTTTTGAAATTTTACAATTCTTATGTCCAAATGCCCACTAAATGTGCAACAACGAGAGTATTTACAATGGAATAAATATGACTATTTTTCAAAAATAGTAGTAGTAGCTAAGAGATTAGTTTTATATACAAAATGTAGGACTAAAGAGATATAACTAACTTTTTCATTGTGCTATCACCTTTCTATGTTAGGTATTTAGGATGATTAATATATGTAAACCGTGGTAAAAAAAGTATGATTTCAATTCTATTCCATACTTATTGGTCTAAATACTCATCTAACTATATCTATTTTTAAAAAAAAAAAGAAAAAAAAAGAGTTTTGACACTTCATTAAGAAGAGAAATTGACGTCCGAGAAATATTACCATATTCATGATATCGAAAAATAAGCATTAAGGGAAAATGCGAATACATTAAAAGAAATAACAATTACTACAAAATATATCACATGCATTACGTACAACCAAATCAAACTTTTTTTTTTTTGCTATTACCAAATCAAAACTTTTAAAAGTTGAAGTTTAGTTCATACTATAAAAAGGAGTATAAAGTTTATGCAAAACCACCACCTGTGTACTAAAGGAATGTAGGAAGAATATTTTTCTTTATGCCAACAACACAGGAATATGATTCCTCTATTCTGGATATATAAAGTTTTTACAAATTAAAATAAATCACCAAAATAGATATATTTAAAAGAGAAAAAGATTCTTGTATGAGGTTTACACTAAATTAATAAATACATATATGGTATCATTTACAAACATTTGTATAACTAAATTAACTGTAGTTAATATATATATATATATATATATAACAAATTAACGTGATTTGATGTAAATACATAGATAAGTGTTCTCTTATTAAAGTTTTGGAACTCGTGTATGACATAAATCTTGCAAACTAATGCTAAATATATTGTTTTCTAAATATTTGATTCATTAGTAATGAATATTGATGTGAAATAATAATAAAATGGTGAACACGCACGTTGGCTGGCAATTTTCTTCTTTTGGCTTGTTCTTCATCCACTATGCATTTTCCAACGGGAAATTATTTTAGAAAAAAAAAGAGGAAAATTTTGGCATAAAGTCTTAAGTCGTTAACAACTTTTTCCCTTGTTTCTTTGTCCCTTCGTTTATATATATATATAAATTGTTATACTTAACCAAAAAGTTTATATGGTAACATCATTTTTGAAACTTAATAAAAGCAGATTGGGGAGCCTTCAGTATTTAGTATTTACACACCTAATTACCCTTCCCTCCTCTCCACCAAATGATAAAAATACCACTAATAATTTGTTTGGATGGTTGTTAACTATTGTATTGTATCATATTGTTATTTTAAATATAATGTTTGTTTTGACTATTACTTAGATTTTATTGTATCGATCGAAAAATATCACTTTATGTAATGACCGATTTAATTTGGTCGTGTTGATACCTTATTTTTTTCCTCTCATCTTGCCTTTTCATATTATTAAATAGTCTAATTTTATTCTTTATCATACTTTTTTATATAATAATTTTACCTCGTATATCATTTTTTTCATTGTAATATTGTAAGTTTCTTCTTCATATTGTTGGTGCATGATATCATAAAACGATGACAAACAATACAATCTATCCAAATATTGTATATATCAAACGATACAATATAGTACAATACGATACATTATGAAATGATATATATTAATATCCATCCAAACAAGCAGTAAGAGGTGTTTGGACCAAAAAGTTTCTTCTAACGAATGAGCAAAGGTGGAGCCAAAATTTTAAACTTATGAGTTCATAATTTTTGTATTTTTAAGTTATTAAATTCTAGATAAATACTTTTTATATATTCATTGAAGACTAATAAAGGTTCGATCAAAAAACCATAAATAAAAATTGAAGGAAAGTTAGAAGGGAAGTCATATCACACACATTGCAAATCATACAGATATTATGACCCACAAAAAAGAAGTAAGGGTCAAAACCTAATGAGTAGTGAGAGGCAATTCCGTAAATAAACGAAACATGAAGGGCAGAAAGTAAAAAAGCGTCGTATTCGCAAACCTCACCATATTCTTTGCCTTTGCCATACATATACATTTGCTTTTATGGGCTTTGCTTTTCTTCACTTTAAATCTGTTTTGACCGTTGCTTTCTCTCTCCCAACGTCTCTCTATCTCTTTCTCTCTCACACAGTCACACACTTCCCACTGATCAAACTCCACTTTGGTTCATCTTCATCTTAATTTTACTTCACATTATTCTCATCTTCAATTTTACCAGGTACGGCCTTAATATCACTACAATTTCGTTTTTGTCTTCTATTATATTCAGTTTATTTGTTTGTTAGAAGGGTATTTTACGAAATCAGGAAAACATGAAAGCAACTCCAGTTTTTTCGTGTGAGCTTCATTTTTTTTTCCCCAGATTTTAGTAGTTTTTTTTGTTCATGTTTAATTTTGGGAAATGCGAACATTTCTGGGTACTGTGTGTTGCTGACTGTTGCAGCTAATTAACCTGGAAATATTAAAATGGATCCTTTTCTAGTGTGTAATTTATTAGCTGAATATACTGAAACCAATTGCTATTTTTGCTTATGATTTATCTCAATTTTGATGCCTAAAGGGTGCATTGCAAACTTAATATTTAGCTTTTACAATTTACTGGTAAAGTGTGGTTAGTATTACAAGCTTCTCTAGAGGATTTTCATTATTTAATCGTAAGTTTTTTTTTTTTTTTTTTTTTTTTTTTTTTGCTTCATCAGCTCTTGTTGAGTAGTAAGCACAAATTATTTGCTAAAATTGCTCTTATTTTTCGTGAATGATCTTCTGATAATTATAATTGCCTTTTCAAACAGAAAAGTAAGGTAAAATTGCTTACATTGAGCTGCAATCTGTTTTCTCTTAAGCTCTTATCATAGTGTCAGTTAATTGGAAAATTTTCCTTAAATATTTCATTACTTGCAATGATCTTTGATCACTTGGGGAGAAAGCATTTCAATTCCTGTAAACCAGATATTGACAAGTGCTTTCAAGTTTCCTCTTTTCGTATGGCTTATAAACAAGGCAAAGAACCTAAATCTAACATTATTTCCTATAATATATGCATAGAATAGTTTGCTGTTTTGTTTCTTTTCTTGTTGGTTATATATCTTATGATTCTTTCTGAGAATGAAGCTTTCTGAAAATCACTTTCTTGTTTTGAGCAGTTAGCTGGTTTCCATATGAATCTGGTGACCATATTAAGACGACTTGATCTCCTTTCCTCTTTTGATTCAAGCCTGAAGAATTCTTAGACTCTAAGAGTAGTAGAGAGAGAGAGATAAAGCTATATATTCTGAGAGAAATGGGATGTTCTTCATCCAAGTTGGATGATGAAGAGGCCGTTCAACTTTGTAAAGATCGAAGGAAGTTCATTAAACAAGCAGTGGAACAGAGAATGCGATTTGCTTCCGGACATATGGCTTATGTTCTTGCCATGGAAAGAGTTTCTGCAGCCCTTAAAGATTATGTTGAAGTCGATGAGCCTCGCGAGTTTTTATTGGATTCGTTTAAAACTCCACCACCCTTTACTCCTATTAAGAAAGTAAGTCCTGGTTTTATCTCCATAGAACCAAAATCCTTTTCCATAACACCCTTGAAGTCTGAACCCAAAACCAAATCCTCTATAAAAATTAATTATCTTAGGTCAGGTGGGAACCCTGCTGTTTCTGTCGAAGAAAGACCTCATTCACCCGAAACAGTCAGAATTCAGGCTTACTCCCCGGTTCATCAATATGGTATGGATAGTTTCTTTTCTATGCAATCCTCACCAATGAACTCGTCGTTTTTTCAGTATTCCCCCAACAATAGGCCTAACTTTCCTCCCCCTTCGCCACAAACATCACAATGGGATTTTTTCTGGAACCCATTTTCTTCATTAGATTATTATGGTTATCCTATGAGAAACAGTATTGAGCAGACAATTCTCGACGATGACAATGATGGGCTAAGGCAAGTTAGAGAGCAAGAAGGAATTCCTGAATTAGAAGAGGAAACGGAGGTAGAAGAAACTGATCATGGAGAGGATGTGAAAGAGGAGAGGACCAAAATCCCTCACAATTTTGATAAAGATGAAGTTGTGGTGGAAGACGTCGACGACGACGACGATGATGATGATAGCAATGAGGAAGAAACGGATGATGAACATGAAAATGTTCCCCATATTCATGAATTACTATCTAAACCCAACCAAACCACAACAGTCGCAAAGGCACAGAATGTAGGCCAACTCAGCAATAAAGAGACAGCAGTTGCCAATCCTGAAGCAAAAGAGGAAACACCTGGATTCACTGTTTATGTGAATAGAAGGCCTACAAGTATGTCGGAAGTTATTAAGGAACTTGAAAGTCAGTTTATGATTGCTTGTACTTCTGCTAAAGAGGTGTCAGCTGTGTTAGAGGCTATCAGGGCTCAGTACTCATTGCAGTCGAATGATCTGTCACGTAAGGTTTTTGCATAAATGCTTACTTCACAACATTTATCTGATTTTCTTGTTTGTCATGACTATTCATTTCTTCTTGACTCTTCATGACTATTCATTCTATGAACAAAGATATATTTATTGATGGCATGGTGCCACATATTCCAAAATGTATCAATGCAGTGAAACAACCGTCACATTAAATTAGCATGTTCAAATTTCAAAGAGTCCTGCGTGTTCCTAGTAGCATGGAAAGGCTAGTTTTATGGCTTTTTAGATCTGGAATTTTCTTCGAGGTCTCTTGTCAAAATTAACTGATGTATTTCAGGAGAAATGTGCAAGATTCAACAGAACAGTATACCATTGGATTGTACAAGAAGACACTGAGTTTCTTTATGCATGAACAATCTAAAAGGAAGAATTTTCTTTCACTTTGAAGCTCAATGTTCTTCAGATGTGATGATGTGCTTCCTATTGAAGTTTCTTTATGTCATTTTCTCAAGCAAACAATAGAGAAGTCATCACTAGTAGAAGCAGTGACCATTTTTTTTATGTTAGAAGAATTAAGCTCATGCTTATTTTTTCTGATTGTCATCAATTAATCCAAGCACCTCAGATTTCTTATTTAAAGGCATGCTCCATATTTTTTGGTTTAAGTTATGAAGTATTGATGTTGGAATGCTAATGAGCTTAATTTTGTTTTGCAGCCATGAAAATGTTGAATCCAGTAGCTCTATTTCGCTCGGGGTCATCAAGATCATCCTCTTCAAGATTTTTGATTAATCCTTCAACTTTAAGAGATGAGGGTTATCAGAGCAGTAGTGATGTGTCTGATGAATCCAACATGTTCTCAAGCAGTCATCAATCAACCTTAGACAGATTATATGCTTGGGAGAAAAAACTATATGATGAAGTCAGGGTATGATCTTGCTGCTAAAAAAATTAAAGATATAAGTCAATTTCAACTAGTTTCTGTTTAAAAGTAGGATGAGTCTCTTAACCTTTGGGAAGAGAAGAATTCAAATATGACTCTTGAGCGAGAAGAAAAATTATCTTTGTTCATAAGGCATGCATGTATGAATAAAGTGAATGAGTGCATGAATTACCTTCATTTCAACCTGTTGGAAAGAAAATGAATTCAAATATGACCCTTGTGTAAGAAGAATAATTATCACTGTTTATTCCCAAAATAACCGGAAAATGCAAGACATGCATGCATGTAAGAAATAAATGACATTTTGGTTTAAAATTTCTTTTAACATGTTAGTTAATCTGACCTCCCAAACATGTTTTTTCTTAAGTAACATTATCCTGTTAACCTAATGAGTCCAAGATGTTAATTGTGGGGATCAGTCCTTTACTGTTGACTGTTGTAATGTTCAATAGGCAGGTGAGCGTGTCCGGCTAGCATATGAGAAAAAGTTGGCACAACTCAGAAATCAAGATGTGAATGGAGCAGATCCGTCATCTTTGGATAAAACAAGAACAGTCATTAGGAATCTGGATACTCAGATAAAGGTTTCAATCCACTCTGTTGAATCTATTTCAAGAAGGATTGAAACTTTAAGGGATGAAGAACTGCAGCCTCAGCTTTTAGAATTAGTGCAAGGGTATGTATCTGATATCCCTGTTACTAAGGTTCTTCAGCTATATCTATACTTGTCAACTCATTCCAATGCTACGATTATGTACATTAAACATATTTACAAAAAGATTTTTATTTGGAAAAACTTGAAAATGTTCTTTAATTCAAGAATCAGGTATTATCAAAGAAAAAAAAAGAAACTTGTGGAGCTTCTAAAGACAGGTTACCTTGTTAAACAAATTGTTACCATCATAGATCATTATTATCAGTTTCTCAGTAAAAGACAAAGTAACAACAAAAGAGCTCCACCTATTTGATTTTTAGTTGCACTTCACTGTCTACTGGAGTTGTTTGCGATTCTTATCAGATATATCTTTCACATCAAGTTCCCTAAATATCAAATTTTCCAGAAGGACCTCAAAAGTCTTGAGTTTCTTGCACATTTAGAGCTTCAGAGACTCTTTTCTGTCGGTTTCTATTGAAACTTAAAAGATATACCGTTCTCAATTTGTTTTTTCCACACAATTATGATTTGGAGCTAAACCTTGTTACCAATTAGCTGCTAAAAGATTGGATTTGTAATTCAAATATCAAAATTGTGTTCCTTCTGCTATTGATCATAAACTGTTATTTGCTCTAATGTACTTTGACTTGCAACATAACCCCTTTTATGGCAACAACAGGTTAGGAAGAATGTGGAAGGTTATGGCGGAGTGCCACCAAATGCAGAAGCATACTCTAGATGAAGCCAAGCTCTTACTCGCTGGAACACCTTCAAAGAAGTCCGGCATGAGGAAGTACACAGTCATGTCACCTTCTGAGGCTCATAGGCTAGCCCGTTCTGCTGCTAACCTTGAGATGGAGCTCAGAAACTGGAGAGCCTGTTTCGAGTCATGGATCGTTTCTCAACGATCATACTTGCATGCTTTAGCAGGCTGGCTTTTACGATGTGCTCGTTCAGATTCTGACACATCAAAATCACCCTTGTCCCCTCCTCGTTCCACGGGAGCTCCACCAATTTTCAGCATTTGCATCCAATGGTCCAGATTATTGGACTCCATCCGGGAGGCAACAGTACTTGAAGGACTAGATTTTTTCGCAGCAGGAGTAGGCTCACTCTATGCGCAACAACTAAAGGAAGATTCCCGCCGGAGTCCTGGTGGGTCAAAGAGTCTTGGCGGGGAATCTTTTGGGAGTATGGAGATCGTGGAAGCTGGGCAACATGACGAGGAAATAATGACAGCAGAAAAGATGGCAGAGATTGCCGTTAGAGTGCTATGTGCCGGAATGTCAGTTGCTGTGAGCTCACTGACAGAGTTTGCCGTAGCTTCAGCTGATGGATATGCTGATTTGCTAAAGAACTATGAGAATACCAAGCAGCCACAACAGCATTTGAATCAAAATGCGGTGTAATTTTATGTTAAAACATTAGGTTAGGTAGGAAGGAATGCAATGTAAATTACATATTTGAGTAGTTTAAGTCATATAGAGGAGCCTTAATATATATTTGTATTCAATCTGAGCTTCTGATTATGCAGAAAGTGAAAGTAGTTTTCTTTTATCTAAATAGCTGTAGATTTAAAACTATACCAACTTTTCAAGGTTCGTTCAATCCCATTCATATCTAAGTAAACCTTCAATCTTGCACTAAAAATGCTCCTTTTTTTGAACTCAAACAAAAAGTTATAGTATTAAACTGAATGAGCAACCAAAAATCTTACAATTAAATTAGGACCATACTCCCGATAGAAAGAACTACCATAATTTCAAGACTCTTTTGCTAAGCAATAAGCAACTAAATTTGCTTGCCTCTTAACCAAACCAGAGAAAAAACACTAAAACTGCTCTCAATATACGAATTCACACGTTATGTTGAAAAAAATATCTTATTATAGACTCGCTTAAATTAACAAGTTTCTAGTCCAACTAGTAGTAATATCTATTAAATTCCACATCTTATATAGAAAATTTGAATCAAGGATTTTCAACAATCTATCAGATTAATGAATTTCAATTATTTTATTCTTTCACTCCGATAGTTAGAGTTGCCAAAGAAGAGTGACAACTAGCGAAGCAAGTATTTGGCTTATTCCATTCTATTTGACACAAATTACTTGTTTAGGTTTTTAAAATCCTTTGCAAGTCTTATCTTTTGTTAAAAGTATTTGATATCTTCTTGCTAGCCTCCTTTCCCATTATTGCTATCACAAAAATTAATGTATACTGAGGCATTATTAGTCGAATGTTTGATTTCTCTATGTCGAACTCAATACACTGTACATCCAGATTAAGAGAACTAAGGATCTGATGATAAATACAATAATCCAGTGATTATTAATGATTATATATTACAAAATCTACATTCTAATCCATGTATAATTTTTCCATGAATCAAAAAAGGAGAGCATGGTGCATAAAGTATCCTGCGATGCAAGAAAGGCAGCCTAGTGCATAAAGAATTTCGCATTTACACCAGGTCCGGGGAAGGGCCGCACCCCAATGTAGTGTGATGTAGACAACTTACCCTGATGCAAGAAAGGCAGCCTGGTGCATATAGCATTTCACGTTCACGCAGGATCCGGGGAAGGGACGCATCCTAAGGGAGTGTGATGCAGGTAGCCTACCCTGATGCAAAGTATCAATGGCTGATTCTAAGACTCGAACCGTGACCTATGTCACATGGATACAAATTAACCGTTGCTCCAATGTTCCCCTTTAATTTTTTCCATGAATCAAGAAACCTAAATGTTTAGTTCATCATAAGCTGCTGGTTTTGGTTGCTTTAACTCTTAAACAAGTAATTGCAGCAATGCCTCCCTTGCATGGTTTCAAAATATCAGAATTATCATGACAAACTGAATGCCATCTCATAACAGATAACCTTTCCAAAACTCAACAGCAATTATCTTATAAGCATACCGCATGAGGTAAAATTCTTTCCATCATTCAAATTGATAGTACAACTTTTGTTTAATGATCCAAATATGACAGATTCCATTACAAAAGCATTAACAACTAATAGTATACAAGATTACATAATCCAGAGCATATCAAGCCTATCAGGCAGCCTGATGCACAAAGCATATCGCATTCATGTAAGGTTGGGGGAAGATCCGTACCCCAAGGGATGTAATATAGGCAGCCTACCTTTACACAAGAATCGGAGGCTGATTCCACGGCTCGAACTCATGACCTATAGATCACACGAAGATAACTTTACTGTTGCTCCAACGCTCCCTTTAGAGTATATCAAGCCTGACTAAGTTTATTAGAACACTCGGGACATTGAAAATGTCCTCTAGCTCGACATTTAGTACAAGAAGAGGATCCTACTTTTGATTTATTCTCCAACTGAATGAAATTGAATGGTCCTCCTTTAATAACACCACATCCTTTGCAGCTTGAACATGCTATCAGTCTCAAATCTCCACATCTTTTGCACATCCCTAGTGAGCTGCTCATAGAAAAAAAAATGCAGCATATAATTTAATTACACCCTTTTTTTTTATAGTAAAAGATTTAAGCAGCATACAATTTACCCCGAATCTTGTAAGTTATATATAATGATAGTATAAAATATAATTTAGTCATTTATGAAAATAGGTTAGTCATCTGAAAACTACTAGATATGCATTAGAACAACAACAACAACAACAACGTACCAAATGTAATCTCACAAGTGGGGTCCGGAAGGGTGGGGTGCAGAGCCGGATCCAGGATTTAAACTATATGGGTTCAGATTTGTAATTCTACCACATCTCATCTAATTAGGTTCAAAATTTATTATTTGTACATATTTAATGATTTTTTGAGAAGAAAAAAAAAAGGGTACGAGCGAAAACTATGGTTTCAGTTGAATCCATAGCTTCTACACTAAATATGCCTCTGGTGGAGTGTACGCGGACCTTACCCTTACCTTGTTGAGGTAGAGAAGCTGTTTCCAGTAGACTCTCGGCTCAAAAGAAAAACATTTTCCTACTAGATATGCATTAGAGACTATAAACTTAAGCAGCTGGATTCTTGATAATATAAAAGAGCTATGAACTATAATTCCTTAATAAGGATAATAATTGTATTGCTATCTTTTAGTGTTTTAAAAGGCAAGGCCGTGAAGCGGAGCATTTTACTTAATACGGAGCGAGGCGAAAGCCTCGAGACATGGGGCGTAAGCCCCACGAATATTTAATATTTTAAATTTATGAATTAATAATATAGCATTATAACACAATAAAATATAAAAGATACATTAAAAGTTCAAGAAAACCAAAAAGAATTAAAGAAACTCGTATAAAATAAAATATTTAGCATGTTTTACAAGTATAAATAATACAATACTATTAAAGTTACTATGAAATACAAATTAACTCCAACCTCTTAACTTTCAAACAATTAAAAATTATAATTTCTTAAAAAATATTATCAACCTGCATATTTTACCTCTTTAAAAGTAAATACACAATAAATTTTTCAATACCGTAATTTAAAATATTAATCATTCATGAGTAAATACAAAATTATTTTTAAATCGTAAAATAAAAAATGTATAATAATTTTAAGAGACATAGAACTAAGACATGAAGATCTATCAAGTAAAGATATAAATTTTGATATCTATTTTTAGAAGAAATATTCAAATGATATTCACCCTCGCTACGTTCTCAATTAGTAAATATTCAATAATATGTTTCGTTATTTGAGTTATTCACAATTTTCATATTTCTATAGATAAAAAGAAAGAACTTTATTCATTCATTTGTTAAAGAATTTTGATAGTTAACAGTACAAATTAGTGAATTCAAACACATGATTTGCATTGGAACTGTTGGGCGAGTCCCAAGCAATGAGCGTTAGGCGTGTTTAGGGCGCATCGTCGGGCGCTTGGGGGTGTAAGCCTCAAGAAACTAAGCCTCACCCATGAGTCTAAAAGCGTTTTGACAGTGCCCCGCCGGAAGCAAGCCCCGAGGCGAGTCCCAGGAAAAGCTTTTTAAAACAGTGCTATCTTTTCTCTAATGGATAAAGACCATACAAAAAAGAAAAGAAAAGGCGAATGATAGAAAAACCAAAAAAGGAAAAACAAGTGAAATATAATAGAAACATATACCTACGCTGAGAGGCAGAGATGAAAGAATCAATTTTGGGAGCATAAACAGTGGCGGCAAGTAGAAAAGCACCCACTCCAAATCCTGCTATTTCACTTGCTGTTATGTGTTCAAACATTTCTCCTCCTTTTCTTTTCTGCTGCACAAAATAGAAAGAGATGAAAATAAGGCTCTCGAATGGATAAGATATTTTTGGGTAATAGAGCAGTACGAGCATATGTGCACCCGGACCCTTGGGTGCACATAAATAAGGAGAAATGCCTTACTTTTTCGATCTTGCGTAGACCCGTAATGCCTTGTCCACTCACCTGCTTCTGTTTTTTTTTAAATAAAAAAAATAGCATCAGATAGTTATGCTAGAGGGCTAATATTTAGGAATTAGTCAATATGTTCTGAATTTCAGCTTTTCAGTTTAATTTTTCAAGACATAAAATTGTGAAATTAAAATTTTTTGTTCAAATTTTCATGATAAAATAAGTACCGATTAATCTCGAAATAGCATCTCTAAGAATGATTATTTGTATACTTCCCCTTTTGTTAGAGCAATAGAAGCCCATATGCCATAACCTAAAGTTCAAATCTTGCAGATTTAATTTTCAGCCACCAACTTTACAATATTTTACAACATATACTTAAAGTTAAATCTCTACGGTAGGACATGGTCAATATTTTCATTTTTCTTAAATATATTTATAGTAAAAATTGGGGTATATTTTTGTTCAAGTTTACAATTTGATCGTATAACATATTTGTCAATTTTTATTTTATTTTACTGCAAGTTATTTTATTTTTTTTGAAATAAAAGGATGATATCAATAACGGAAAATTACAAAGTCATTACATAGTCCCTAAGGACATTAGCATTGTCAAACTTGGCAAGTTTGTTACACAGAGAAGAAACAACATACTTAGAACTAATACTAAGACCATACTTGTCCTTTGACAATTGAGGTTCAACAAAACAAGGCGCACGTGCATGGTAAAAATATTTAAAAGCTTTGAAATTTTTTACTGCTTCCTTCGCCAAGAGATGGGCCACAACATTTCCTTCCCTGAAGTTATGCATCAGGGTTGGGAGCTTCAACTGGTGCATTAACCACCTGCATTCAAAAATTAGATTATAGAGGTTTTGGTTGTTCTCATAGAAAAGTGTTATAATATCCGTTGAATCTGTCTCTATTTCTATCTTTGGGAATCTCATTTCCTGAGCAATTTTTAATCCTTCATGGAGAGTCATTATTTCACATTGTATGACTGATGAAGCATAAGTTGATTTGCAGAAGCCAGCAATCCAATCTCTATTGTTGTTTCTAAAGACACCACTAAGGCCAGCTTCCGGTGTATTTTTTGAGAAGGCACTGTCAATGTTTAGCTTGATAGTATCTATTGGGAGTTTATTCCATTTGATCTCAATTAAAAATCTGCTTTCTCTTAAGGTGTTTTTTTCCGTGAAGAAATTGTATTCCTAGGCTTATTGTAAAACATCGATGGATTGAACCTCATAACTAATGTTATTGATGTTGTTATTATTTCTGTTTTTCCAGATATTCCAAATGGAGAAAGCAAATATGGTTTTTCAGTTGCTAGGATACTTACTATTATGAATAAAATTCTCTTTTAAACTAATCATCCAGTGTGAAGCATTATTTAAATGGTCAGTGGGGATGCCCATATTTTTTCAAAAAAGCTTTGTGCCAGGGTAATGGAGGAAAATGTATTGTGCATCTTCGAAATCTTCCCTACAAACTGTGCAAGAGTTGTCTATATTAATGCCAATGCGGAATAAGAAAGTTCTGCAAGGAATGTGGTTATGTATGCATTTCCAAAAGAAGAATTTGATTTTGTTTGAACATTGTAAATCCCAAATCTAGTCAAAAGTGATTTTTCGTGTGGCGGTAGGATTTATAAGTTTATGGCACGGCTTAGTGGAAAAGAGATCATTAGAAGTGACACCCCAGCTCATAATATCCTTTTCAAAGACCTTGTTAGGGAAAACTGCGAGTTATTTCAAAAGGAGAATGAGTAAAATGAATAAAAATCTGGTTAAAGATACAAGGTATAAAAAATTTTATGTAACGAAATAATAAAAGAAGAAGAACAATATTGCAGAGAAAGAGAGAGAGGAAATTCTTATTGAATTTTGGGATGACTTACAATGGGGTAATACCCCTCTATTTATAGGGAGAAAATGACTTAGCCACAAAGTAAAACTCTCTACAAGATAGACATTCGCTCTAAATAGAATTCTATTCATAACACTCCCCCTTGAATGTCTACTCGATAAGTAATGTGCCTCACTAAAACCTTAACTAAAATAAAACCCAATGGGAAAAAAAATTCTAGAAAAGGAAAAAGAGTACACATGTTTAATAATATGCCTTTTGGTTGCCTCGTTAAAAACTTTGCAAGGAAAACCAGTGAGACAAAACCTTGTAAGGGAAAAAGAGTGCAACGCGCATTAACTCCCCCTGATGAGA